CCCATGAAGTGTCCCTCTTTATTGTACTGCAATAGGGGGGATCTGGTCATGGATTTTTTAGTTTTGAATTAAATACCTGAGGACTCTTTTCAAAATTTCTGCTAAGTGCATTTCTCCTGTCTGGTTTAGCTCCCCTGATCTACACCTATGCCTGATCGGCACAGTGGATCACGGCTCTGGTGGGGAAGGCATAGAGAAGGGTGAGGGGCTGTGAGAGGGCAGGCAGGATTCCACCTTGCTCCCCACCATGGAGAAAGCAAAGGAATGGGAGAACCGCTTTAGGTGCTGTGTAAAAGCCCTCAGCTGCCTACGTCCATCTTTCTTAAGAATAGTTTTTGTTAGTTGCCTGCTCAAGGTGGGAAGGAAGTTTTGGGTGCCTTCTGACAGGGTTTTCCCCCCACTTTGTTCCTTTGACCAGGGCCCTGCTGATCAGCCAGCACAGGCCCTATTTGCATCACTAGGACATCTTATTTAGCTCTTTAAAGGATGTTTCTGTAGCTTCCCTGCCCTCCTATGTCTAATATTAAACCATTACTAATTTGTCCTTGCAAAGGATGTTAAAATATCCTTGCGTCTCTGTGAAGTGGGTCAATTGCAGATGGGGAAAACCAAGTGACAGAGAGTTGATGTCAGAAGGCAGTGTAGATATATACCTTTATAAACTAACTCCTCATCGGCAGTGATCCCTCACGGTTGAGGATTACTCCCAGGGGTCAAGTAAAGGATTGTAGATAAGTCCAGACTCTCTGGCAGATGCCACAGATGGTGGTTAAAGCGTGGGTCCAACTGCAGATTTCTTGGTTTTGTTTCCTTTCCTTTCCTTCCATTTCTGTTATTTTTTCTGCCTCCACAGTGAGACTCTTTTCCTCAAAGATGTACCTTCTTTCACAAACCATCGCTATTTGTAACCCTGTCTTGGTCTAGTTTTTCCCAGTTTGTGGTGTCAATGCCCCACAAACATTCTTAATGTTCGCCTTGAGGGTGTCCTTGAAGCATTTCCTCTGGCACCCATGTGTCCTTTGTCCTTGGTTGAGTTGGGAGTATAGGAGTTATTTGCGGGGGGAAGAGAGCAGTGCTAGGAGAGACAAGCAAACATTAAACCCATAGCCCATAGAAACCAAGGGGTCAGATAAACTAATCCAGGTAATGAGCTAAGACTCCATAGTCCCTCTTTAAACCACGGTTAACAGCCCACTTTGTGGGTGAGTTTTTGTTCTGCAATTTTCCAAACTGGTTTTTAAAATTCTTCTGCCTGAGAACAGCAATCCTGAGGTCAGCACAGGGAGGTTGAAGCCACAGGCTTTTGTGTTTTTCTGCAGCTGATGCTAGATCAGTGTTTATTCATTATTACACGTAGAGATCACCCTACCTGTCCAAAGTAGACAGTAGAGGGACACTTAAGCAGGTGATGGTGTATATGATGTTGGTAGAGTTGCAGGCGAATGAACCTTGGCTGTTGTACTCCTTGTTTTAAGTCCAGGGATGATGTGATCTGTGTTGATCTGGGGACACGGCAGGCATTTTGGTGCATGTCCCTTACCTTCCCCAAGCTAAATGGTGAATCAGCAGCAGAGCTGGGAATACAACCCAGGAGTTCTGGCTCCCACTTCCACTCCAGTTCATTAGTCACACAACCATCCTTCCCCTGTTTGTGACTGAAGTGTTTTGTTTCAGTCTTTCCCTTCTCTTGCTGCCATTCTCCTTGCACTTTACCTTTTCCCAGATTGGCTCATCCCTGTTTCACCATCTCACCACCACCTCCTTTTCCCCCTTTGTGAATTTCTGCCTTTTGGCTTGTTTCCGGCTCTGTCTCCCACACACTGTGGCTGCCTTAGGAAGGTGGAAGGGCCAGGAAGCTCCCTGCTGTCTGTCTGATCTTCTCCCTACTCTGAGCATGGTGGGAGCAAAGGAGGCAGTGGAGGGAGCAACTGGAAAGGGAAGAGGAGGAGGAAACAGCCTGGCTGCCTGCTGAGAGATCTCCCAGTCTCCAGTCCCTAGCAGGAGGGGTTGGCAGGAAGACTTTGCTCACTGCGCACAGCCCCACTTGTGAATAATGCTGCATGGAGAACAGTGCATTCAAACATTTTCTTGTAGCTAAGACAGATTGGAAAGCACTTTGGAAGCCAGTAGGAGAATGAAGTTACAGAATGATTGTTACTGAAGTACTGCCAGCTCCCCAAAGCTCAAAATCTGTGAGTCTGACCCCAACATCATGGGATTTCTTTTTTTAAAGATTGTATCATGTTTTAGCCTTCTGATTTTTGAACTTCAGTGTAAGCATGACAGCCCCCTTCTGCTCACTCCCTAGCCCATGCATTCATTCTTGCATCCTATCTAGCCCTCCATTACTTCTGGCTCACATCCCCACATCTGACCATTCTCCTAAGTGCACTCTGCTTCTCCTGCACAACTGCATAACACCCCAGGCTTGGGGAGCAGCTGTTCTCCCCAAGAGCTGGTACTGCAGGGATGGGGAGGAAAGAGAGGGGACAGACAGAGGACAGGGAGGAGATTCACCCTGAGCTGCTGAGCTCTTTCTGCTCCCTGCCCTGTAGATGGTCAGAATTAAACGGCCTATTCATTCTCCTCTCCCCAAACACCCTTCCAGGTGACTGTGGGGAGGAGGAAAGACTTCTGCCTACCTTCTACAGCAGCTCTGTTTGTCTGCTTGTCCTCAGGGGGTGGGGAAGTGAAGCAGGCAGCCAATCAAAGGGAGGGTTTCCCTTCATCAGGACTGGGTAGCCCTGAATGCTAGAGCTTCTCTCCAGGGGGAACTGGCCCAACCTGTCTTACTGGTAGTGAATGGTGAAAGTGGGCAACCTGTTATTGTAGGACCAGTAACTCATGGAGGAGGGCTCATGAGTCATGAGGGGTGCATCTACACATGCATTAACATACTTTAGTTAATGCACATTAAATCTAGTACCTCCGGGTGCCTGTACACGAGCACAGAGGCTGCTCCAATGCGTTGTAATTACAGTATGTCAGAGCAGACTCAATTAATCAAGTCTACTGGAGCATGGCAATTACCATGGTCCAGCAGCCTCTCGTGTCTCATGTATCAGTATCCTTGTGCTTCAAAATGGTGGCAGGGGGTACTTGAACTGAAGCTTGTCAAACAAGCTTTAGTTCAAGTGCTCCCACCACCATTTGGAAGCTTGGGGATACTGACACATGAGACACCGTGGTGTTTTAATTAGAGCGGCTTGTGGAGCTGCTCTAATTAAAGCACCGCCCCCCTGGAGCACCTGTAAAATTGCCCTCCATTGTGAGGGTACAAGGAAAATGTATATTATGCTGTCTTAAAGGGCATTAACTAAAGATGGGCATTAACCAATGTTTTTTAAGTGATGGTTAATGCACATTTGCCTATTTTAATGCACATTAACTAAATAGCATGGGGTGTATCTACATGTGCATTAATGTGCTTTAATTAATGCACATTAAATCTAGTATCATGGGGCACTTTTACACCTACTCTTTGGTTCAGTGATGTGCCCGAGTGTGCTGTGTTGCATGCAGTTGTGTAAGTGGTGAAATGCTGTTAGTGCTTTGGGGCATTTATATATGTGCTCCTGGAGCAGGGGGCGGCGGCAGGGTGCTTTAATTAGAGCAGTTCTGAGAGTTGCTCTAATTAAAGCACCTGAAGCGTCACATGTATCATTGTCCCCATGCTGAAAAATGGTGGCGGGGGGGCTTTAACTAAAGCTTGTCTGCTGGAGCATGGGAATTACCATTCTCCAGCAGCCTTGATTAATTGATTACTCAAGTCTGCTCCAATGCACTGTAATTACAGCGCATCGGAGCAGTCTTGCTGCATGTCTATAGGCACCCTTGGAGCAGGGTTCCCTCTAAGCTGCATAGCCTGCAAGACCTTGTAGGCGGGCTCATGCCATGCTGCCAGGCACACCACACAGCTTAGACATAACACTGCCTTGGAGTCCAACATGGGCCTCAGTTCTAGAATAGTCTGTGAAACATATGTGAAATGCAGTGTTCAGGAGAACTCAAGGAAGAAAGGTTTCAGAGGGAGAAGGACCAGGTTTTCAGCTTTATGCATCCTTTCCTTATTCTGCCTTCTCCTTGCACATCCATACATCACCTGCCATTTATCTACTCACCCATTTCCATAGTGACATTACATTTTTACCCTAAGGTAAAATCACGCTCATCAGTGATAGCTTCCTAAGGGTGAGCAACCTTTCAGCTGCACTTTTTATGCTTCTATTTCAGTTTGGGTTGCTACCAGCCTTAAGGACTGTGTCATGCAAAGGACAGGCTGGCACTGAGTTGACATGAGCTATGGAATTTAGACAATATATGTGTCTGCCACATCCCAGAGGTTTGAAATTGCACAATAATTTTGCTTGCCCTTCCCTCATAGCTGTCGTAGGAGAAAACATGTAAGTGGAGTCCTGCCCTTGGGAATCCCATAGTTTAGAATGAGGGCAGCTTCTCCCATAGTAGCAGTTACTGTATTTTTTTGGAAGGCAGTCACTGCCTGTACTGTAAATAAGTCAACACATCCACATTGCACTGTTCTTTCACATCATGTTTAATAATACTCTAGTACCATTCATTATAAATAAATAACCATTAAAAATGACTTCCTTGACATTCTCTTTCTTGATGATATTATTTTCTGGAACAGGAAAGGTTAATAATATTCATTGTTTACTGAATCTGATAAGTCTTCGAGAATGTGAAAGGCAGACACTAAGATGCTAGTTAAAACCAGGTGGTGAGATGCCTTTCCTGGCACTTTAGGCAGCTTCCCAGCATTGACTATGCAATTTCAAGCTGATCTGTAGCTCCCACTGCTGCTCCACTCTTGTGACCCCTCACTTGCAAACTCTGCTAATGCACAGCCATCCTAACCTAAGGTACCTATTGCTCTTCAAGCCATTGGCTTCTCCATAGCTCTGCAAACCTACTTGAATTCCTACATGA